AACTATTTAAATGTGCCCAGAAGTAAAAACCAATCATAAAAAGTTGAAAACCACTTGGTTGGTTCGGACACCAAAAACCAACGCCGAAAACCGAATGCCGAACGCCGGTTTCTGAAACCCGAACGCCGGATGGCTTGGTTTTTGGTTTGGGCGAACACCAAGTGTTTTTAATGTTTTAAACATGTTTGAAAAACATTTTTATGATGTGTGAAATGCAATGAAAAGAATTTTAGTCTAAAGAGCCAAGGTGTAAAGGTTGGGTCGGTCTTGATCACAATTATGACCGACTCACCAACACTAAGACTACGGTCTTCGTTCTTGGTCTTCTTTTGGGTCTTGTTCTCTTGCTTTCTTCTTATATTTATTTCTCACCTTGTATATTCAATAACTTGTCTCGTTCACGGCGGTTTGGCATTATCAAAACCTGTCACAAAAACGAACACGGCTTTAATACGAAAACACGATAAACCCGTGTTTCAACAAATGTTTGCAACCATTGGACGCCAAGAACAATATCGGGGTTATGAATCTCCAATAGAAAGAGATCAACTTCAAAAAGATTACCTTGCAACGATAACGGAGTACCTGGGCAAGAATACGAACACCGCAAGGAATCGCCGTTGCCGACATATACGCGAAAAGGGGCTGCCGGGTGAGGCACCAAGGCCAAACGCTGAGCAACGTCGGGATGGATGAAGTTATGAGTGCTGCCACTATCCAAGAGAACCTGCACGGCGTTGCCACTGACGAGGCCGGCCAGTTTTAGGGAGCGAGGGCTCGGGTTGCCGGCTAGAGATAATATGCTGGAGACATCGGCCGTGATAAGAGATTCGTCTGAAGGATCCCCCGAAGTGGGTACCAACCCTGACGGTGCAACCTCATCATCGTCAGGGCCCATATAGACAAGAAATCGGTGTTTGCAACTATGGCCAGGGATCCATTTGTCATCGCAATACCAACAGAGGCCTTTTTTAGAACGCTCCGCTTTTTCTGCTGCACTAAGGCGGACGACGGGGAGGTTCGGTGGAGTGGCACGCTCAGGAGGTTTGGTGGATGGAAGGCTGGGTCGTACAGCGTGTTGCACGGGAGACGCGCTACTGGACGACGAAGGTAGAGACCGCCGTGGTTGCCACCCGCGACGCGAACTCGAGTACGACGTGGTGGCTTGCTCCTGGTGGCATGCTGCTAACTCACGGGCTAAGGAAAATGTGGCCTGCAACGAGCTAGGGTTGCGAAGGTTAACCTCGCGTTGGGTGGGCTGTTTAAGACCCGCCACATACATGGCGACCAACGTCGGTTCTGGGACCCCCGAGACCTTATTCAAGAGAGCTTCAAAGGCGGACTGGTAGTCCATGACGGTCGTAGTTTGCTGCAATTTAGATAATAATCCCACGTAGTTCTCGTAATAATCAGGGTCAAAACGCTGCTGGACCACCACCAAAAAATCCTCCCAACTTGCGCCACAGTTATTGGCCTGGTAGTAACGCAGCCACTCCGAGGCAGGGTGATCAATCAGCATGGGAACCAGTTGCATACGTTCGGCGTCTGGGGTAAGGAAGTAGTCGAAGTATTTTTGTACGCGGAAAATCCAGCCCGTAGGATCTTCGCCACCAAAACGGGGTGCATCCACGCGCATGCGCGGCACCGGGTCATTTGGTGGTGGACCGGTGCGCGATGGGGGAGGGCGCCAACCCGCAGTAGGAGGGCGTTCGGGACGTCGTGCATCAAAACCAAACTGACGAGCCCCGGCAGAGAGTTGTGCGACATGGATCTTCGTTGCTTGTAGTTCGTTGCCGAGGTTGGTAATAGCCTGCATCAAATCGTCCATCGTGAGGGGGGGTTTGGCCGTCTCCGGCGTGGGTTGTGGAGTTGTCATGAGTTCAGGAATGAAAGCACCAGTTGATATGGTGGTTTCCGGCAGAGGGCTGCTAGGGTTGTGGCCGAAACCCTAACTGCCTAGGGTTTACTTTGGCAGAGATGGTACGAAGAAGGAAGGGAAAGGAAAAATAAAGAATTAATTGAGTAAAGGCTTATTCTTATTAATTTCTAATGAGATCCCCTTAATATTTATAGTGATAAGGAGCCTCGACCTGTCGGTTCAAGAAAAGCGTCAAGGGAAAGAACCGAAAAGAAAACCCTTGAAGGAGCTTATATTTCCGCTCACCTAATAAAATCTAGAGTACATTAAAATAGGGAGAAAATAAGTAGTGATAAAATAGTTATAAATGCTAAACATAATCTTGATATCTTCGGGGAGGTACCACCTTCCTCCGTGGTCGAACTGACGCCGTTGTTACCCGCGTGTTATCCTGATCCATCGGTCCGTCCTCTTGTTCACTCGTATCAAAGAGAGATAAATAATACTTCAATAGTACAAAGGTTCACGTTATTGACCGAACCCAAAATGACCCGAAACCCGACCTGAAAACATTGGGTTTTGAACAAAGGTTTTGAAGACCGAGCCCGAAGTTGACCGAACCCAAAATGACCCGCTAAAAATGGGTCAAACCCGACCGAACCCGAACTCGACCTGACCGACCCGCTAAAGTAAGAGTTTTTCAAAATCAGACACTTTACAACTCGTTTTTTTATGTATAAATTCTTATTTTCAGACAAAATTTCAATGATATTGCATAATTATCTTACTTTTTTCTAAAACTTAAGCATTTTTTTAACTCCTTATATTAATTTATATATCTAAAAAAAATTCAAGATTTAAAATAGAAAAATCAAATAGATTTAATACATATTTTTTGATATTTTAAATTTATGTCATAGAAAATGTACGTGTTAATGTGAACTTAAAAATTTAAAAAACCAAAGTCATAACCCGTTGGGTCGACCCGAACCCGATAACCCTAGGTCATGAACATACAGTTCTCAACCCGAACCCGAATTAACCCAAACCCGAAATAACCCGAACTTGAAGTGACCGAACCCGACCTGACCGACCGATTTGCCAGCTCTAGTGTACTTGGTTTATGATCCTTCTTAGTTCGAGTAAGATCATACTAAGACTAATAAATCGGATCTCATAAGAACTTTGAAGTTAAGCGTGTTTGGGCAAAATTAGTATTAGGATAGGTGACCTACTCGGAAGTCCTCGTATAAGGCAACCCAGTCCAAGACATATGTTTATCTCTTGATTACAATCAACAACTTTAAGTTTATTATGATGCACATTCGAAAAATGGTCTAAAGCGACCCTCACACGATTTGCCATGGTGACCAAAAGTTTTTCGATACCAAGCGAATATAAAAGTGTAATTTTCACATTTCTTCACAACCAGCCATAGCAAAATGAAATGTGATTGAAGATAATTAGCAATTTGCATCAAGTGATTAATAATTTCAAAATTTCACAAGGTCAAGAGTATATATTCATTTTTCATTCAAATTCAAGACGTACTACAATATGAATGAATTGTGTATTTATATGTTAAGTAGAAATTTCCTAATTAAAAACAAACGAGGGATGTTACAATTCAATTGTAGGCAATGTTCTGAAACCCGGACCGGACATCGACCCAGACGAGCATTTGGGTCAAGAGTTAACCGGTTGCACCGGGTTGAATCGGGTCAACGACTCGGTCAATTGTAGTTAAAATAAAAATAATTTTATTAATATTTTTAATAAATTAATATAGATATACTTACACAATAAAAGTATTTAAGTTTGTTTTTTTCTTCTCCACCTAGTTTTTAATATCATTTTTCATATAGTACTCTTTCACACTTTCAAATTTTAATTTTTATTACCTTTGTTAATGTTTTAGAATTTTAAGTTTATTGAAATAATAAAACAATATAAAAAATAGTGTTCATTTCTTTATTATAAAAAATTATTTTGAAAATTCTTAAAATAAGAACCTTACACAAACATATCTCTATTTTTTAAAGAACACAAATATAACTATCTTGTTAAAATTTTGAAAATTTTCTACAAATATACATTAGTTAGGTGCTATCCTAAAACGAAGGTAGTGCAATGAATATATAAAAACAGTTATACACATAAAAAAACAACCAACTCTACTAGTGCAGTTGGAAGGAAACGATAGAGCTTGGGCTAGAAGTTTGGGGTTCGATTCCCGATGGTGTAGATTTTTGTAAAATAAGACAAAAGTCACCTTAGACCCGTGAACCGTCGGTGCGGATTAGTTGTTCCTACCCCCACTAACCCTCCCCTCATCCATCGGTAAACCCCCCATATCCGGCACATCCCATACGCACCCCTTCCAATTTTATGGTCAGTTTTTTGACTCAAAATTTGGTTAGTTCAATTAGATGGATTGCGGGGGTGCGTAAGGAACGGGCAGTATAATGGGTTTACGTGGGGGAGAGTAGAAACAATTAGTTTTACGATTGGAGTCACTGGGCTATTATTATTCATATAAAAATCAAAACAAATCATATGTTCATATGAACGGACATTATTGCTTATGACCACACATGATTGAAGTCACTGGGCTATTATTATTATTCATATTGCCTCTAATCCCGGCGAAATAATCTTACATTGTCCATAAACACCTTTATATTATGAGGTCTAACCGAGCTTCTTTCACTACACCTTAGGTTCTACAAGCCTATATTAAAATAATTCCAACATAACTTGATTATTTTGAATATTTTCAATTCAAAACTCGATAGCTTACCCGCATAAAAGGCATCGATTTGCAAGAAACAGAGGGAGATGTGGACTGGTCAAGTGACTACATGACATTGTGTTGTGCAGTAGAGGTGGCCAAATCGCAATATGCGTATCATAGCTTAGCCGAGGCGGCAGATACAGCATGTGCAACCAGTTCTCTTCTCAATATCTTCCCTGCTGGAGATTTAGGAATGGAGTTGATGAACGAGACCCGCCTGATCTTCTTATACGGTGCAACCTGCAAAAACATGCCAGTGATTCAACATTTAGAAGGGAAAAAGGTTTAAATTGTGCAGATGAAGGTCCAGAGTGCGTAATGATGATGATCACTGAGCTTCTTGCTAGCGATGGTAGTTAACTAATTAATCTCATTGAAATCAATCGTCGCGAGTTCGAAAAAGAGGTGCATCAAGAGTCCTTTAACAAGCTAGAAAGCAAATACGCAGTGAACGTAAAATAGTGAAATGAAAATTTGGCATGCCTGTTTTCCAATTATATCCATTATTTGAGCTTCGGAGATGTTGCTTCCAGGTATTCTGACAACATATGCCATTGGAATCTCTCCTGCTTCTTCATCGGGATATCTGCACTCAGCAAACAAACCATAAAAGTGATCCATCATAAGAAACATTGGTAGGTAGTTTGGTACTACTGGAAGAAGCTTTTCTTTGATCCAGTGCTTTATCCATAAGGCAATTTTTAGTAAAATATGGTTTGAAATTCATGACTATATATACATACATATGAAGTATAAAGTTTCTATTTAAGATGCAACAACAACAACAACAACAACCCAGTTAAATCCCACAAGAGTAGGGTCTGGGGAGGGTGTGTGTACGCAAACCTTGCCCCTACTCGAAAGTAGAGAGGCTGTTTCCAAAGAGACCCCCGGCTCAACGTCGAAAGTTGCATTGCTTGACTAACTGCTACTTCATTAATTAAAGAAGAGCAGATAGTTTAGAGATCCATTTTGATTTATTCCATCACACCCCAAAGCCAAAAAATGGTGAAATTTTGGCTCCATCGGAGATGATGGAAATAAAGCTAAATATGCCATTAGATAACCTTCTCAAGATGCTAAAGCTAAATGTAGAATTTTGTGAACTGAACTTGGTGATTTTCATTAACACAACACGTAGTATATATACACGGTGGAGGCCCAAGAGACGTGGCCCAACAAATATGCAAATAATACATATGAAATATATACAATATATGCTAACACTCCCACTCAAGTTGGAGCATGAAGATCAATAATGCCCAACTTGGACAAAAGGGAATGAAAAAGAGGACCAGGAAGAGCTTTCGTAAAAATATCAGCAGTCTGCAACCGTGTAGGAACATAAGCAGTAACAATATGAGCGCGCTGAAGACATTCGCGTATAATATGACAATCAATATCAATATGTTTGGAACGCTCATGGAACACCGGATTAGCCGCGATAAAGAGGGCTGATTTGTTGTCACAATAAAGGCGCGGGGTTGCGACGCACGGGACACTCAGTGCGGCCAAAAGACCACGTAACCATCGGATTTCCAAACAAGCATTGGCCATTGCTCGATACTCAGCCTCCGCGGACGAACGGGAAACCGTAGTTTGCTTTTTAGTGCGCCAAGAAATAGGAGAACCACCAAGAAGTACAAAATAACCTGTGACGGAGCGACGTGTGATAGGACAACTCGCCCAGTCAGAATCAGAGAATGCCGTTAAGGTCAAATCACTGTCACGACGGAGTAAAATACCTTGGCCAGGATGCCCCTTAAGGTATCGGAGAACACGGAGTGCAGCGTTCCAATGATCCAACTGTGGATTCTGCATAAACTGAGACAAAGTGTGAACAGCATAACAAATGTCAGGTCGAGTAATAGTCAAGTACAAGAGACGCCCAACGAGACGACGGTATTTGGCAGGATCCCGAAGCTCAGCACTGGTGGACCTGGCGAGATGATGATTGGTCGGCAGTGGTGTGTCCGCGGGTTTGCAGCCAGATAAATTGTGTTCCTGAAGAATATCCAAAGTGTACTTGCGCTGATTAAGAACCATACCCGTCGAGGAGCGAGCACACTCAATGCCCAAAAAATAAGATACCGGACCAAGATCCTTGAGTCGAAAACACTCATCCAAATATCGCTTAAAAGAGGAACATAAAGAAGGATTATTACCGGCAACAAGAATATCATCCACATAAACCAGAACAACAAGCATATCAGGCCCATGACTGAGGACAAACAAGGTGTGATCCGCGTGGGCTTGGCGGAAACCGTAATGACGAAGAGCCAGTCGAAGCTTAGCAAACCAATTCCGGGGAGATTGACGCAACCCGTACAGAGATTTGCGTAACCTGCACACTTTTCCCGGAAACAAATGAGAATAACCTGG